AGCCGTGGGTTCGTCGCGCGATGAACCCACCAGCTGGGTTCGTCGCTGGTGGGTTCATCGCGAAGGTAAGAAAAAAAAAGAAAAAATCTAGTGGGTTCATCGCGCAAGTAAGAAAAGAAAGAAAAAAAAAAGAAATAAAAGGCTGAAAGAAGGAGAGGATGGGGAAGAAAATGAGGGTATATTGGTAATTAAAAATAAAAAATTTGGCCATCTCATCAAGTTTTGCCAAATAGATTTCACACGTAATTTAAGTAAAGAAAAAAAAAAATTTTTCCGTTAGTTAACATGCCATGTAAGCCAAAATTTAACAGAGGGACCAAAAAGGGGCCGGATTTGTGAACAGTAAGGATCAAAAAGGGGATTCTTTCGGTATAGGGACTAAAAATGGGCTTTTTCCTATAGTAGAGGGACCAAAAAAGGTATTTAACCTTTTTTTTTTATCTAATTCAAAATTTAAATTTTTAATTTTTAATTTTTAATTTTTAATTATTAAATCAGCTCTTACGTAACACTACCCTTGGTTGACGAATTCCAAAAGCAACGGGACAAGAAGGCTAACACATAAATAATGCAAGATTGAATATCTGCCCACTCACATTGCACGAGTGGATGATTTTTAGAAGGGTTCTTTGACTTTGGTAATATACAACAAATAAATCCTCAGCTCGGTGATTGCTGGAAAACGAATACACAGAGGCCAGTCTCTATGGACAAAATAAACATCACAACTCCCAACCCTTCATTATTGAAAATTAACTTCAAAAATGAGTGCCACAGAAAAATTCAATCCAAGCGGGTTCGTCTTCATCATCAATTTAATATTTTGATGGATCCATCTTTGTTCCCTGCAGCAAGTTGTTGATGGGATGACCTTCCAGAATATACTAGCACGTAAGGATGTTTATATATATTAACTCTTAGTATTCAAAAATGATTTTAGATCTCGATTAACTTAAAATCAAGTAATATCAAACTTCTACTTAAACAAACATATCATTGATATGTAAGTGTATTATTAAATCATACAAAGGAAATTGATAAAAAAAAAAAAAA